CTCTGTTATTAAACTCAACAGAAATCTCCATATGCAACAACAGGAGGCCATAGGCAATTAACACTGTAAATTGAAAGGTTTAGAATTTTTGCATGACCTTTAAAGGTCAACACAATTGCCCATTCACATGCATGCAATTATACGGTGACTGGTTCGTAGCAGGAAAAAAAAAAACAAAAATATTTAGTAAAACAAACCTTGCATTCATCAAAAGCTACCTTGCACTTTCCAGGCTTTATATGAAGAGTTAGCTTTACATAGCGCAAGAAGTTAAAACAGCAAAGGAGACTTGTTTGGCTGCTTTTCCCCATTTTGTCAAAATTTAGCCTACCCCATTCAAACTACCACCATAATTACTAAGAATGCAACATTATCACATTATCTAATCTCTGTAAAGAGTTTCAAAAATCTACTGTATAAAAGAAGCAATATAAATATAAATGTAATTGAATGACTGCCTTTGTGCTATTGCTGAGAGAAAAGAAGAGGTACCTTCACTAATTGGCCATTCAGGGGAAATCATAAAACAGTTACAGCTACTATGGAGTAATTTAGGAGACTGAGGGAAGTGATTAAAAGGCCTTTGTCTAATAAAAGCATACTATAAGGCCTGATTCCTTAGTTCTCTCTCATACCCCATATGGATCACTGTGAACAAAATGAAATGTTCTTCTCATAGCTAATATATTCATTTTTCATCTGAATCCCACATAACCTGAAAGTCATTTTCCAACGGTCAGAAAAACCAATTGCCTAAATAGGCCAGATTTTCACTAATTCCAGTGACTAACTCGTCTATCATTTTGGCACAGGTTGAAATCTGACATATACGTGTGGTATACACATTGGAAGTGGGTGGGTTTTGAAACTCTAACATGATGTTGGAGTATAATATAAATGTTTCTGGAAAATTTGTAGATACTATTTATAAACCAGAATAGTATGCTCTAAACGCATGGTTTATGTTTTGACTGTGGATGTGCATATTTAATAATGACAGCATACAGATATGTTCAGGGTTTAAAATGTATTGAACTTCCCAGTCATAGTATCAATAAACATATCCCAAAGTGCCCCTACAGAGGACACTAATTTTCTTTTGCATTTGTAACTTAATAAATAAAAATATCTCCAAAAGAAAAACTAAAGAGAAAAACATATTGCATGTAACAGTGGCTCAAACTCAATTATAAACAACCTTGTTAAACCATGAATACAGTTACACTGTAGGTCAAATCATGTAAAATAGTGAAAAACTATGTACTTAAGAGTGTAGACATTTTTTAAAGTTGTTCTTGCCCCCTTTAATACAAAACCGGTATTTTATATGGGTGCCATTAAAAGCATTTGTATGTATATATGCATGTGAATATATATGTATAAATATAGAGATTAGATAGGTATTAGAGAAATGTATTTAAATAGTACTTTTCTTCATGTTCCAATAAGTCTAATTATTTCTCTTAAAATTTCTGTTAATAAGTAGAAGACAAAAATTGTTAGTTATAGTTCATTGACAAGGACATTGAGTACTGTACCAAATGAATAAAATCAGACTTTCTAAAAATGACCCAATAAATCAGTGGTCAATGACAACTAAAAAACAAAAATTAACTTCTAGGTCTGTTTGCTAGGCCTACATTTCCGTCTCCCGTTCCAGACTGTGCTCCAAAACTAAAGTAAAACTGTTCTCTACAAAGACGTATGGTAACTCATTGTAAAATTATTCCTTCTCTTCCAGTGGTGTAATTCAATATGCTCCAAGTACTGTAGTTCAAAATAAAGTTAACCAAATAATTTTTTAACAAAATGGCAAACTAATCATATTACATGACATTAAAATAATCAGTGCTTCATAAGAAAAATTTATCAAGTGAAATACTGTGTAAGTATGTGGACCAAATATGAGGTTGATTCAGCTGGTTTGGGCTTCATATCCAGCGGCATCTGTGTTAATGCATTTCTTCTTTGTTTTGATGGAGCCCTACTAATAGGTTGATGAATTACATTTGTAAATGTCAGGCATAGATCAAAGGGGACTATGTTAATCGCTTATTTTACTTTAACTTAGTTTTTTACCAAGAAAACAAAACTGCATTGCACAGTAGTTTCTTATTTTTACTTGAATCTTTAATGAACAAAACAGCTGCAGAATAATGTGACTTAATGAGGCATCCCTAATAAAATACTGGAGAAGTAAAAGCAGGGGCACTGAACTGTTTGCACTCTGGTTATTTCATCTTCTCAAATAGGTTAGAAATAACTGATGACACTTTGGAACATTTCTCGTTTAAGACATGCATTAAAGAGGCAAATATTTATCAGTTTGCTGCCACAGCTGAACTTAGGCAAAATCTAACAGTATCTTTTATTGGGGCCCATGATAAGAAATGCCTGGAAAATGCTGAAGAGGCATATCTTACTCTACCTGTATAGGGTAATCCTGCAATTAGTGATAAATCAACCCTAAAATGCACTTTCAACATTTAAATGTTCAAAAATGTTGTAAAAGGATTATTAGAATGCTATATTGGGAAACAAAATACTATATTGAAGATACTGGATCCAGGACCATAAAAATTTCCCGATAATATGCCAAATAATTTTATAAACTGTTCTTTTACCCTCAAAGTTTCATCACTTTATATTTTAAAAGGAAAGTGGCCATATCTAAACACAGACCTTTTTACAGCTGTGTCATCACATTTTATAACTTGGTGGTTAGTAAATACTATAAAGCAGTATGTAAGCAATATGTATCTTTTCTGACATAGAGCCATGGAAATCTCAATGAATCTTCATTCTTCAATTTGTCATTGTTAAAAATAGCTAATATTTTTCAGAGTTAAAATCACAACCTCAGATACTTTTGATTTCCCTTTAGCACAACTTGTAGCATTACAGGTGTTTGCTTTAATATCAAGGTTTTTGGTTCTTCTTTAAGACATATAACATAGCACTATGTATCAATACGTAAGTTTAACTACAAAATTTTATTAAAGGCAAGAATCAAGATTTTAATCTTTAAAAAATGCCTAATAAAAAGCAACACACTAAAATTGTGTTCTGCCTCTTAAAAGAGTCACAGTACCTAAGCACTCAGTTGGCGGGCCACTGCTCTCATAGTATTATATCTATAAATAATACAACCCCATTTTTTTCATTGAAAATTAAAGTCAAAACAAGCTTCAATGTGGTTTACTGATGGCCTTTCAATGGCTACTGATGACTCTAAAAATTACACTCTAAAGAGGTCACATGCAAACAATTGACCCCAGATGAGATCCAGAACAGAATAAAGTAGGAAAAGAAAATTAAATGTGTCTGATCATTTTTAAGGCTCTTAGGTGCCAAATTTGAAACTGTAAAAGATTCAGCAGCCTGAGAGTACAAGTGGAAACATAGAAAGGCTGGAGTAAATACAAATAATCTTAATGGTCTTGTTTTTAAAGCCTTTAGAAGTGTTTTCAATCTCCTTTGCTAGTTTTGCCATTTCACACTTTAAACAGACATCTTAAATTAATTACTCAATTGTCTTAACTTAGATTGCCTAATAGAGCAGTTTTAATGTGTTAATGGATAACAGTTTGAACGTTGATGTCTCAAACAATCTAGTTGGGAAGACAGAAACCAGATAGATAATTGTTATACAGTCAATAGTCATTGAAACTCAGCTCCTGTCCTGAGTGAAGGACGCTTATATGCTGACTGCTTAGGAGTACTTTTAAGAGTAAAGATTGCACAGAGGTTTGTTTGTTTAAAAATAAATAAAATAAAATAAAAAGAAACTGACTTCTGCAAAATTCAAGAGGGGATTTAACATTTATAAAATGAAAATATTTTCTTTTCTGTCTTATTGCCACAAGCCAAACTCCCCCAGCACAAGGTGAAGAGAGGCCAGCTAATCACTGCCTTAACTACACATTTGATTCCAAAAGCTTCGGGGAATTGTTTAACAATCGATCTGGAAAGGGAATACTGAATGGGAAAGCATCGCGTCTTCCCAGGGGCTCTTCAAGCGCCCACAGTTCGTCCTTTTCAAGTGGAGACCAGACAGCTCAGCCTGCGATTCTAGGAGAAATAGGGCAACGGATCTCAAACTTTCCTTTGCAAAAGCAGTATCTGGAAATAACACGTTCCCCCACTGGCTACTGAGGATCAGTAACCTGAAGACAACACCTCTTGGTAGGAACCTGACCTTTTGGAACAGAATGGGGGAAGGGACAACAAAGCAGTGGGGCAGAAAAACCATGTACTATTAGCAAGATTTGGGAGGCATCTGTCCAGAAAGAAATGAAAAACCATTAGTTTCTCGAAGCTGTTCTTTCTCTGAATGCTGTCCTAAAGCTGTCCCGTAGTATCCTTTATTAAAGCTTTATTTCCTTCGGTAATAAAGCGTCCGTTCCCAAATCCAAATAAACCTCTAAATAGGTGAGGCTCCGAGACTTATCAAGATGATTCTTTACGAAGATAAAGAGGTATAGAAATCAATAGCCTCATTGAAATGCCCACTGTCTGCAGACAGGCCCGAGAATTAACTAACCAGAAGTGGACAGAAAGTAGGGATTCCAGAAGAGCGACCTAACATCTCATTGATCCTTGAACGCGACCCTGAACTCCTAATTAGGAGTCCAAAATGGTTCCCAGCCGGGATGGGTTTGGTTGAGGGATCTAATTAAACCCCACTTTAATCCTCGGCCGGGTCGCTTATTATGTTGGGAGAAATGGGGCAGAAAAGAGAAGGAAGGCACCGCTCTCGGACCTTCTTCGTGTGCTCAGATCCCGGCTCGGCGTCCCTCTACCCCCGCCCCTACCCTGACCTCCCGCGAGGGAGACGCAGGCTGCCCAACCAGCATCTGCGCTCACCTCTCGCTTTTCCCCGGCGAGCCCCCTACAGCCCTCAACGCCAGAGGAGGGGAGGCCGTCCCCGCCCTGGGTCCTCCAGCTGCCGCCCGAATACCCAGCACAGGCGGGTCGCGGGGGGCGCGGCTCGCACCTACCTGCAGCCCCGCTTCCTGGTGGCGGCAACACCTAGCGATGCTCCTGCAGCTTCCGCGGGCCTGCGCCAGCCTTATCGCTCTTGCATTGCTTCCCAGATGCCAGTCCGCCGTCCCGGTTCAGGGGCATAGGGAACCGAAGTCTGGTGGTGTGTGCTCGTGGAGGGCGTGTGAGCGAGGTCCTAAGCGTGCGTGTGCGCGCGCCCTTGTGTGTTTCTTCCTCCGATGGCAAAGAGGGTTCAGGAATCTCTTGACATCTAAACTGGAATCCCCTTAAAGTGGGTGGAAGGTGGAGCGCGCGAGCCTCGTCTCTTTTCCCCGCTTCTTCGTTCCACAGTGTCGAAGTAATGAAAAGATTTGTTTACTGAGCACAATCCAAAGTCCCGCAGCTAGACCAGCGTCCGCGGTCGCCCGCTGTCCTCGCCGGATGCGCGCGGTGCGCTCAGCTCCCAGGACTGCGAGAATCAAGGCGGTCTTGCAGCAATTACCGCGCTTATTCCATCTCTGATTTGTTTGCTTTTAACGACGAGTACAGACTTTTCCTCCCGCCTCACGCCGTCTCTCCCGCTCACACACACTCACACATCTTCCGTTGCCTGTCTCCCGCCCTCTTCTGTGTTCTCTGGGGAAAGGCAATGGGACAGAACAATTCACCTTCACGAAAGCAGCCTTTGCCACGTACTTCACCAGTTCCCTGGCTCTCGCAGGTCCTGGGTCTCCAATGTGGACGAGCTGGTGGGGAGATTCGGGGCAGGATGGAGGAGAGGCTCTGAGCTCGGCTATCCTCCGCCCTCAAGACGCTCGAGTTCCTCGGTTCAGGTGCCGGTGTTCCCGCTTGTAGCAGATAGGTCGCAGGTGATGCCCTCTCGCAGACTTTGAGCCGAGTCCAATTAGCAGCAACTCCTGGCCAGCTGCAGCCCCTCAATCCCGCCTAGAAGCGCTGCGGGCATAGCCCCACGCGGCCCAACCGCTGACCCTGTCGGCATCGTGGGCTGGAAGAAAGGGAAAATTCGCCGTTGTCCCCCTCTCCCCAGTATGCTGGCACCGTCACCACTGAGAAAGTGTAAGTTCCAACATCCAACACAAGCGAGCAGGTGTTGCCTGTGTCACTTCGTTAAAGGCGGGAGGGGAGAAGAGAAGGGGCCGGGGAGGGGGCCAATGTGGGGGAAAAAAATCCAGACCACCAGGAAAAAAAAAGTAAGCTGTTTAGTAAAGCCTCCTCTCCGTCTCCCACCCTAAGCGCCGTACTGTCAAAAGACACTGGTGATATCTTTTAGAAAGTCACCGTAAAGGGCAGAACCCCCTGTTCCACCCAGACCCCTTATTTCACCCAGCCTAGCTATCCAGGGAGTACGGAGTGACTTGCCTCCCTGTATAGTGCAAGGAGAACGCAGGGAGAGGATAGATCCCAACACTCCAGGTTGAGTTAAGCAGTAAAATGGGATGGCAGGACCAGACGGCGTTGCCTCCCTCCGTCTCTCTCCCAACAGCCACTTCTGATAGCATCCGCAGCTGCTGCTGAGAGCAAACTGCGGTCCTGCAGAAAAAAAAAGACAGTAAAAAATGAGAGGGAGGCAATTGGTATAAAAGCTGGACTATGTCTCCCTCTAGAGGGAGAACCGGGTTGGAAAGCTTTGCTGGCTGTAACTAGGATTCCAATCTCTCCACAAAGAAAAAACGGTATCTGGTTTCAGAGAATTTTGCATTTTTACAAGTTCCAGCCTCTAATGGATTTAGAGAGACGATTTGCACTGCGGCCCTATGTAACCAGAGTCTTTGCTAAAGGAAACTTGTGCTATTTACAGAAATTGAATAGCAAGACCCTGGAAGGGCATGTTTTTACAGATTTGGTCAAACTAGCTGTTAGTTTAAGCAGTATTATACTTATGAGCTCAAAAGAAAGGTCCTCTACAGCTCACTTTGATCAAGTTTGGTGATGAGCAAAGCCTTAATCTAGTCATTAGAAGATTGTGCAAAAATAGATAACTACTAATAATAGATTTAAGAAGGGAAAAGAACATCTGAAACAAAGAAACAGGATGCTGATCTAGGAAATCTTACAGGTGTCTTACAACTAGGAATATCTCAAAGATCCTGCTTTGGAGCTGATATCCGTACCTCTTATTCAACTAGACTAGTAAACATCAAGATGACTAAATTCCTACAGCTCTAAAGTTTTGTGCTTTTATAGCTCTGGTTCACTGAAACCATTGACAAACTAGATCTCACATGTTCTCTCCACCAGCTATAAAATAAAAGTAATACTAGGTACCATATTTACAAAGAAATATGGAATATGTTTCTAATTCAACCATATTTTGTATTTAAAAGGGTATCAAGTATTTTAACGAGGTCAAGGTGGCTGTTTTGATAATGTTTTGTTAGGTTTGTCAAGTTCAAGCTAGGTTCATCTATGACTTTAATATTTAGATTTTTGCAAACTTAGTGTTTAAAGGTTTGCTTTCAAGGTGTTTTCATATATTTAAAAATTATAAAATATGTATTAAAGTTATGATTGAACTCCTTCCCATTCATTCTGAATTTTCAGAGTCTTTCAATTTTAAGTTGGTAATCTAACTTAGCATAGGCTTAAAGAAAGAAAAGAATCTATAATGAAATACTTTAGACTGATTGAAGTCATCTAAAACAAGAAGCCAAAAGTAAATTGTGTAACATTTACTATTTCAACTAATTGTACCACAGTAGATTTGAATCACTCTAGCACAGGGCAATCATTTGAGGAACCTTCGAATGGTCTCTTTCAAAAGATCAAGATTCAAATCATGTGATCAAAGATTTTTATTGGATTCCTCTCACCTAACAACTTAATACCTCAGGGAACAAAGTTTGCATTTTAAAACACCTGGCACTATTTCACTGCAGATCTTACAGAAATTCTCTGTCTGCTTCGATAAATGGTAGGATGTAATCCAAACAGGAATGACATTGGAAACCCAGGCTCTGGGCTGGGAAGAAGAGCCATTTACAAAATCACTTTAACA